CCAAGCCCTACACCCATCCCTGGAACATTTGGGTAATAAGGATACCAGTTCCTGAGCCCTACACCCATCCCTGAACCATCTGGATAACAAGGATACCTACATCAGGCTTCTGCTTATCTGCATTCAACACCGCTATTCCAAACCAACTAATCTCAACTCTGAGACCTCGATCTCTGCTCCCTGCCGCCTTCCTCTGCAACTAGATCCTTGACTTCCTGACCCCCAGACTACAATCGGTAAGGATAGGGGACAACATGTCCTCCACCATAATCCTCAGCGCCGGTGACCCGCATGACTGGAGACTCAGCCTCCAACTATATGTGTGTAGCCAAATTCCACCCAACGCCATTCACCAGTTGGCTGATGACACCACTGTTGTAGGTCAGATCTCCCACAACAATGAGGCGGAAAACAGGGAAGAGATTGAGAGGTTAGCAGCGTGGTGTAAAGATAACAGTCTCTCCCTCAACGTCAGCAAAATGGAAGGAGCTGGGCATTGACCTTAGGAAGTGGAGCGGAGGACATGCCCATGTCTGCATCAATGGAGCTGAGTGGAGATGGTCGAGTGCGTCAAGAGTGGGAGTAATGATCTCCGACAATCTCTCCTGGTCCACACAAGTCGATGTGACAGACAAGAAAGCACAGCAACACCTCCACTTCCTCAGGAGGCTAAAGAAATTCAGCACAATGACCCTTACCAATTTTTATAGGTGCACCATAGAAAGCATCCTATCAGGATGCATAGTGTCAAGCTGGAGGAACACAGCAGGCCAAGTAGCATCAGAGGAGCAGGATAGCTGACGTTTCGGGTCGAGACCCTTCCTGCTCCTCTGATCCTGTTTGGCCAGCTGTGTTCATCCAGCTCGACACCTTGTTATCTCAGATTCTCCAGCATCGGCAGTTCCTACTATCTCTCTATCAGGATGCATCACAGCTTGGTATGGAAACTGCTCTGTCCATGACCGCAAGAAACTATAAAGTGTTGTGAACACAGCCCAGTCCATCACAGAAACCAGCCTCCCATCCGCTGACTCCATCTACACTTCCCACTGCCTCAGGAAAGCAGCCAACATCATCAAAGACCCCTCCCACCCTGTTTATAATCTCTTCCACCTTTTCCATCGGGCAGAAGATATAAAAGCTTGAATACAGGTACAAACAGATTCAGAAACAGCTTCTTCCCTGCTGTTATCAGGCTTTTGAATGGGCCTCCTTAATGTTAATGTTGATTTCTCCCTCTCTGTACCTTCTCTGTGGCTGTAACTGTGTATCCTGCTCCTCTGTTCTGCTCCCCTGATGCCATTGTATAGTACGACCTGCCTATAAAGCATGTGAGACAACACTTCTCACTGTACGTTGGCACTCTTGACAGTAATAAATCAAATCTAATCTAACCTAGATGGAAAAGCACAGTATTCCATCAGCTTTCCTCATTGTTTCATGTTATTTCAAAGCTCTATGCACCTGAACGATAGATATTATTAAGCTGGAGAGGGTTCAGAAGAGATTTACCAGGATGTTGCCGGGTATGGAAGGTTTGAGTTATAAGGAAAGGCTGGATAGCCTGTGACTTTTTTCACTGGAGTGTAGGACGTTGAGAGGCGACCTTATAGAAGCTTATAATATAATGAGGGGTATACACAGAGTTAATGGTAGGCGTCTTTTCCCCAGGGTGGGGGATTTCAAGGCTAAGGGGCACATTTTTACGGTGAGAGGAGAGAGATTTTAAAGAAGACATGAGGGGGAAATATTTTTCACACAGAGGGTGGTTCGTGTGTGGAATGAGCTTCCTGAGGAAGTGGTGGATGTGGGTACAGTTACAACGTTTAAAAGACATTTGGATAAGGACATGGTTAGGAAAGGTTTGGAGGGATATGGGACAGGAGCAGGCAGGTGGGACTAGTTTAGTTTGGGATTATGGTCAGCACAGACTGGTTGGGCTGAAGGGTCTGTTTCCGTGCTGTATGACTGTATGACCTTTTATCTGCCCTATTTAACATCATGCTATCTAGAAAGTACACCAATCTATCATTTCTTGGTCTAAAAATGGATAACCACACAAACTGAAGTCCATCTGCCACATTTGCTCAGTCACTCAGGCTATCAATATCCCTTTGTAATCTTATGCTTTCAGAGTCATAGAGCTGTACAGCATGGAAACAGACCCTTCAGCCCAACTCATTTGTGCTGACCCAGACATCCTAAATTAATCTAGTCCCATTTCCCAGCATTTGGCCCATATCCCTCTAAACCCTTCCTATCCATGTCCCCATCCAGATGCCTTTTAAATGTTGTAATTGTACCAGCCTCCACCACTTCCTCTGGCAGCTCGTTCCATACACGCACCACCCTCTGTGTGAAAAAGTTACTCCTCAGTCCCTTTTAAATCTTTCCCCTCTCACCTTAAACATATGCCCCTCTAGTTTTGGACTCCCCTACCCTGGGGAAAAGACCTTGTCTATTCACCCTATCCATGCCCCTCACAGAACATAGAACATTACAGCGCAGTACAGGCCCTTCGGCCCTCGACTTTGCACCGACCTGTGAAACCAATCTGAAGCACATCTAACCTAAACTATTCCATTATCATCCATATGTTTATCCAATGACCATTTAAATGCCCTTAAAGTTGGCGATTATATAAACCTCTATAAGGTCATCCCTCAGCCTCCGACGGTGAAATAGCCCCGGCCTATTCAGCCTTTCTATATTGCTCCAATCCTGGCAATATCCTTGTAAATCTTTTCTGAATCCTTTCAAGTTTCACAACATCCTTCCTATAGCAGGGAGACCAGAATTGAACACGGTATTCCAAAAGTGGCCCTAACCAATGTCCTGTACAGCCGCAACATGACCCTCCCAACTCCTATACTCAATGCACTGACCAGTAAAGGCAAGCGTAGCAAATGCTGTCTACATTTTTTGCAATGCTGCCCAATTTAGTGCCGTCAGCAATTTTTTTCAGTTCTACCTGGCTCCCAATGACTTGCTTTAAGACGGGTTGTTGACCATCCAGTCTACAGACAGTTTTCACTTTCACTGGTCAGACCATCTCGTCTGACTTTCCCCAGATTCCCCGAGATGGGTAAAGAACTGAGGAAGGAATTGCTACCCATTTTACCAAAGAAGAAAGCAAGTTGCCGATGCTCATTCTCAGTTGTGCTTACACAGCTGCATTATAGGAGCAGTGGGTGTGTCGGGAGAGGGCTGTTTGCAGATGTACCTGCACCGGGAGTATGTGGATCTCTCTGTCTCCCTCCTGTGGCTTCGGGGAGAGAAATATACTCACCGTGCTCCCTCCCCCCAGAGTCCATCGTCCGCACCAGAGACTTCATCCCACCACCACCTCCACCGCCCCACCCACCCTGGTACTCTCCTGAAGGGAACATCAGGAATGGGATCACACTGAGAAATGTGCCCGACACCTAGACAAGAAGTTACTAATTTTCCAAACCATCAAAATTAAACTCCAAGAACTATAACTCCCTGCCTCACGTAACTCCCTACCTTCTCTAATAATACTCCATGTAATTTCCTCCCATCTCCATTAATAATCACGTAACTCCCTCCCATCTCCATTAATAACCACATAACTCCCTCCCATCTCCATTAATAATCACGTAACTCCCTCCCATCTCCATTAATAGCCACATAATTCCCTCCCATCTCCATTAATAATCACGTAACTCCCTCCCATCTTAACTAATAACCATATGACACCCTCCCATCTCAATTAATGCTCCACATAACTGTCCTCCATCTCTATCAATTCCCCCCCAAAGGAACTGTCTCCAATCTCCATGCATAATGATGTAACTCTGACCCAGTTTCATCAATCCCCCACATAACTCCCACTCATCTCCTATAATTCCCCATGCAACACCCAAAACAACTCCATCGATCCCTCAAATGTCTCCCTCCGAGATCCGTCCGTCCCCCCATGTAATTCGTTCCCACCTCCATTGTCCACCACATAACTCACTTCAATTTCCATCAATCTCCCATGTAACCCCCCACAAACATCTCCATTAACACCCCAAGTAACTCCCTCCCATCTCCATCAATTCCCCCACGTAGCTCCCTCCAATCTCCTTCAATCCTCCACAAAACTCTTACCCATCTCCAATAATGCTCCACATAATTACCTGTCGTTTCTGGCAGTGCCCCACATGACTCCCTCCCATCACCATTAATGCACCTTGTAATTCGCTCCCATCTCCATGTACCTCCCTCGCATCTTCATAAATGCCCGCGCAATAACCCCGCCTTTATTGACGAAATGTAACTCCCTTCCAGCTCCAACAGTCTGCACATAACACCCTCCCTTCTTCATCCTTCACTAAGTAACTCCATCCTATGTCCTGTAATACCCACATAACTGCCTCCCACTCCATTAATCTCCATGTAACTCCTTCCCGATTTCTATACTACACGTAGAACACAGAACTGTCAAGCACAGGAATGGGCCCACGATGTTGTGCCAAACATGAAGCCAAATTAAACTAAATCCCTTCTGCCTGCCCTTAGTCTATATCCCTCCATTCCTTGCATACTCATGCACTAATCTAAAAACTCCTTCAATTCCCCTATCATATCTGCCTCCAGCACCCACCCCCAACAGCGTATTCCACACTCCTACCACTCTCTGTAAAAAAAACTTGCCCCTTACATCTCCTTTGAACTTTCCCCCTTTAACCTAAATGCATGTCCCCTAGTTTTAGACATTTCAACTCTGGGGTAAAGATTCTGATCGTTAACACTATCTGTGCATGTTATAATTTTACAGACTCCTATCAAGTCTCCCCTCAGCTTCCGCTGCTCCAGAGAAAACACCCTGAGTTTTTCTAGCCTCTCCCTTATAGCTCATACCCTCTAATCCAGGCAGCATCCTGGTAAACCTCTTCTGAACCCTCTCCAAAACCTCCACATCCTTCCTGTAATGTGGCAGCCAGAACAGAACCCAACACTCTAAGTGCATCGTAACCAAAGTCTTATAAAGCTGCATCATGACATCCTGACTCTTGTACTCGATTCCACGACCAATAATGCCAAGCATGCCATACGCCTCCTTTACCACCCTATCTACTGGTGTGGCCACTTTCGGGGAACTATGGACTTGCCTACAAGTGTAACTACCTCCCCTCCCCTCCCCCCGACCCCCATGTAACTGCCTCCTATCTTCATCAGTCCTCCCTGCCATTTCCATTAATCACAAGAAAATCCATGCCATCATGTTTAATCCTCACGTGGCTCCCTTCTGTCTTCCTCAATACCACTTAACCCCACAGCTCCATCAATCTACGTAACTCCTTCCTCTTCACCCTTGACTGAACTCACCATATCCACTGTCACTCTGAACATCCGGATCACTGTAAAGGAGAAAGAAGCAGCCAAAGGGTCGCTTGGTGACCATGAGGAGGGATGATCTGTCACGGGGTTAGACGCTAGGGAAATGCACTGTTGCTGTTATCTATAGATGCGCAACTCCAGCGCAGGGAATCCCAGATTGCAAATCGGGTTCTGATGTCAACCACTAAACTTCAAGAATGCTGGGCACTGCATTTCTTGCCCTGGCCCTAGTTGCCCCCCTTGAGAAGGTGGGGGTGAGCTGCCTTCTTGACCCGCTGCAGTCCATGTGCTGTAGGGTTGACCCACAATGTCCCTTAGGGAGGGAATTCCAGGATTCTGACCCAGCGACACTGAAGGAACAGGGATATATTTCCCAAGTCAGGATGGGGAGGGGCTCGGAGGGGAACTTGCATGGGGTGGTGTTCCCATGTATCTGCTGCCCCTTGTCCTTCCAGATGGAAGTGGCCGTGGGTTTGGAAGGTGCTGCCTGAGGGGCCTTGGTGAGTTTCTGCAGGGCATCTTGTAGATGGTACACACTGCTGCGACTGAGCGTCGGTGGGGGTGGGAGTGGGTTTTGAAAGTGGGGCATGTGGTGTTGAAATTCAATGAGGTAGACTCAACAGCTTCAGTTCTGTCAGGGGTGGGGCTGGAGTCAGATACAATAGGGGTGTTTAAGGGGCTTTTAGATAAACACATGGATATGCAAGGAATGGAGGGATATGGTCCAAAAGGCAGGCAGAAGGGAATAATTTTGACAAAACCTCAAAACTAATACTGGACTGGACAGTGTCTCCAGGGACAAAAACAGAATTTGCTGGAAAAGCTCAGCAGGTCTGGCAGCATCTGTGAAGGAAAAAAGAGTTAACATTTCAGGTCCAGAGGCCCTTCCTCAGAATCCGAAACCCTAAACGGACCCGAACCGTTAACTCTGTTTTTTCCCTTCACAGATGCTGTCAGACCAGCTGAGATTTTCCAGCAACTTCTGTTTTGCTTCCTGGTTTACAGCATCCGCAGTTCTTTTGGTTTTCATTTATCTCTCCAGGATCTTGCAGGTGTTAAGACTTACCTGAAAAATCGGGACTTATGGAAGTTGTTATCATGTCAGCATCAGCTCCTGAAACAGAAATCACAAACTGACACCTTGAGAAGGATGACCCCAAATAACATTGAGCAGGAATGGGTAGGACGGCACGGGATAAATGATTGAGGGTCTGTGTTGCTGTTCCAAGTTTATATCATTCCCCTTCGCAACTCAACGCTCCCTCAGCACTGACCGTCCGACAGTGCCCACTCCCTCAGCGCTGACCCTCCGACAGTGCCCACTCCCTCAGTGCTGACCCTCCGACAGTGCCCACTCCCTCAGCACTGACCCTCCGACAGTGCCCACTCCCTCAGCACTGACCCTCCAACAGACCTATTCCTTACCTGTAGACATGATGATGAGAATACAGAGCAGGATGTTCATCATTGTTTCTCTCACCGGTATCTGTCGAGGGAATAAATACAGCAAGGTGTCAGTCCCAGTCTCCATGTTGCATTAAAGTGTGGGGTCTCAGTGGGATGGGGAGAACAGTGCCGGGGGGGCAGTCTCTTACTGATATCAGCCTCAAGGATTGTCTTGTTCCCATCTCATGCCAACTGAGCACATTCCCATTCCTGATGCTTGCAGCATGGTGTCCTGGGATCTAGAGGGGGAATGGGGGGGGAGAGGGAGAGACAAAGAGAGAGAGAGCATGGTGTGCCAGACAGAACAGAGGGAATGAGATTTACAGACAGAGAGATTGGGAGAGGTTAGAATAAAGTGAGGGAATGATAGAGGAGAGATAGGTAAGGATAGAGGGGATAAGGATAGTGTGAGAGAGACAAGGATAGAGGGAGAGAGATAAGGATAGAGGGATAGAGAGAAAGATAGAGTGAGAGAGACAAGGATAGAAGGAAGGAGATAAGGACAGAGGGATAGAGATAAGGATCAAGTAAGAGAGATGAGGATAGAGGGAGAGAGAGAAGGATAAAATGATAAAGAAAGTGGCAGAGAGAAAAGTACAGAGAGAAGTGAATGAGAATAGAGGGAGAGGGAGAAGGATTGAGGGAGATAAAGGAGATATCCCTCTGTCCTTGTCCCTCTCTCTCTCTATCCTGAGATACCTTGGCTGGTCATAAGTTTAATCTTTGCAATTGGTACTTTGTAGTGGGTCATGTCTGAAATGTATTCACAGGAGGCTGTCAGTGTTCTTCAACAAAAAAAATACAGGTTTATCACACAGAAGAAAAAAGAACAAATACCTTAATAAGACAGTTTTGAAAGATCATAACATAACCAGCAAAATAAAAAGCCAACCTAGTTCCCAGCAATATCCTTTACAGATATTCAACCCCACTGAGAAACTACGATTATCTTAACTTTTCCATTTCTGACTGAACTGGTTGTTTCCAGCAATCACAGCTGAAAAATTTTTAAAACAATCTCTCACACCTAGGAGATATCAGAAATTAGAAACAATCTGTCATTCTACTGGGGTATATCCAATGGAAATATGATTCTCTGAAACAGAAAACTGATTCTCAATTGAACGAAAACTACGAGGAGCCCCTATTTTCTCTGTTTCATAACAATTTGAATTTACAAAAGGTTTATCAATTAACGTCACATATTTCCTGTTCGGCCCCCGACTGAGGTAACAAGCCTCATTGGAAATTAAGTATTGGGTTTACTGTTCCACATGACTTTCTAAGAGAAATTTAACTTCAGAGAAATGAAATAAAACATCTGTTGATCTCTATGTCAAAATCTAAACAAATTGCAGTAACTATTAACACAATGTACACTTTGTGATGCAGGATGCTTGGTTTATACAAATTAAAACCATTTTTGTACAGTTTAAAGTTCAAAGTTTGGTGTTGCTCGACTTTTTCGTGAAGGGTATAATGTTTAATTAGATTAAAAACGTCGGAACATTGGTTTTAATCCAGTGTGTGTGTGAGAGTGTTAATGGAGGTTTCTTCATGCAGTGGATTTAATGGGCAGGAGAGGACAAAATGTTCAGCTTAGCAGATGTTAGGTGAGCAGATTTCTTTGAAGAAAACATTAAAAGTGCATGAACTCAGTTCAAAGTATGAGGGAATGCCGCACTGTCGGAGAGTCAGTGCTGAGGGAGCACCACACTGTCGGAGGGTCAGTGCTGAGGGATTGGGCACTGTCAGAGGGTCAGTGCTGAGGGAGAGCCGCACTGTCGGACGGTCAGTGCTGAGGGGGTATCAGTCTGATCTGTCCAGTAAACTTCTCAATGGTGTAATATGTACCAGAGACGGAGTGACAGAATGAGATGGAGAGAAATGGAAAGACAGATTATGACTCATGGGTGTAATTAGCAATGCAGAGAGGATATGAGGCAGTTTAAAATTAGACTTCGAATTTCTCTTGTCAGACCACAGATCTGTTTGAAAAGTTGACAAACCTTCTCTTCCTGGCTGAAGGGTCCTCATTATTTCCTCTTGAAATCCTACACCCTTCAACCCATCATCCATCCCCTCCCCCTCACCTCAGCCCCTCTCTCAGGGTGAATGTTGATGGGGCTCTAGGGCTGAGAGACTTACCTACCTATAAACAGATTAAAACTCACTTTGAGGCCAGTCTCCCTCTCGGTCTCTTCCTTTCCCTCGCTCTCTCTCCCTCTCTTCCCCGTCACTCCCTCTCTCTCTTTCTCCCTCCCTCTCTCCCTGCTATAGGAAAGATGTTATTCAATTGGAAACGGTTCAGAAAAGATTTACAAAGATGTTGCCAGGGTTGGAGTGTTTGAGCTACAGGGAGAGGCTGAATAGGCTGGGGCTATTTTCCCTGGAGCGTCGGAGGCTGGAGGGGTGACCTTATAGAGGTTTATAAAATCATGAGGGGCATGGATAGGGTGAATAGACAAGGTCTTTTCTCCAGGGTAGGGGAGTTCAAAACTAGAGGGGCATAGGTTTAAGGTGAGAGGGGAAAGATTTAAAAGGGACCTGAGGGGTAACTTTTTCACACAGAGGGTGGTGCGTGTATGGAATGAGCTGCCAGAGGAAGTGGTGGAGGCTGGTACAATTACAACATTTAAAAGGCATCTGGATGGGGACATGGATAGGAAGGGTTTAGAGGGATATGGGCCAAATGCTGGCAAATGGGACTAGTTTAGTTGAGAGTCTTTGAGAGGGAAGGACATGGAAGTCCACAATAGGGAAGAGGCAAGGTTCTTCGAGGGGGAAGGATGTGAGGGTCTTTGAGGGGGAAGGATGTGAGGGTCTTTGAGAGGGTATGGAGGAGATTGACCCGAATGGCTCCTGGAAGCAGGGATTTTAGGGATGGGGTTCAGGTGGAGAAGCTGGGGCTGTTCCCCTCAGAGTGAAGGAGATTGGGGGGAGTCTGACCGAGGTGGGGCAGATGGGGAGAGGGTTAGATCAGGGAGACAAAGCTGTTCCCAGTCACTGATGATACAAGGACCAGGGGAGACAGATTAAAGATTCTGGGGACGGATATACAGAACAGGGATTGTGAGCAAGGACTGTCATACACAGCAAGGGATAAATGATTTGGAACTCAATGCCTCTGAGATTGGTGGGGAGGGGCATGGGGTGGCAATGGAAGATGGTCAATGATGTGAAACCAAAATTGGATGGGCACTTGAGGGAAATAAACTCTTAGAACTATGAAGAGATAGTGGGGAGATGGGCCTGACTAGATTGTTAGGTCTTAGCCATGGAGTCATACGGCATGGGAACAGACCCTTCGGCCCAACCAGTCCGTACCAATCATAATTCCAAACTAAACTAGTCCCACCTGCCTGTTCCCGGCCCATATCCCTCCAAACCTTTCCTATCCATGTCCTTATCCAAATGTCTTTTAAACGTTGTAACTGTACCCACATCCATCACTTCCCCTGGAAGTTCATTCCACACGTGAACCACTCTCTGTATGAAAAAGATTGCCCCTCCTTTCCTTTAAAAATCTCTCTCCTCTTACCTTAAAAATATATCTCCCAGTCTTGAATTTCCCCACCCTCGGGAAAAGGCATGCACCATTAAGCCTACTTGTGCCCCTTATGATTTCCCGCAACATTCCCGGCAACATCCTGGTAAATCTCTTCTGAACCCTCTCCAGTTTAATAATATCCTTCCTATAACTGGGCGACCAGAACTGGACACAGTGCTCCAGAAGAGGCCTCACCAACGTCCTGTACAACCTCAACATGATGTCCCCAACTCCTATACTCAAAGGTCTGAGCAATGAAGGCAAATGTGCTAAATGCCTTCTTAGCCACCCTGTCTATATGTGACACAAACTTCAAAGACTTATGTCCCTGAACCCATGGGTCTCTGTGGTCTACAATGCTATCCAGGACACTAGCATTATTTGTACAAGTCCTGCCCTTGTTTGTTTTACCAAAATGCAATACCTCACATTTATCCAGATTGAACTCCATCTGCCACTCCTCAGCCCATTAACGCAATTGATCAAGATCTCTTTGTAATCTTTGATAATCTTCTTCACTGTCTACCAAACCACCAATCTTGGGTGTCATCTGCAAACTTACTAACCATGTCTCCCATATTCTCATCCAAATCATTCATATAAATGACAAACAAAAGTGGACCCAGCAT